GACCTCTTCCACTTGCTTTGCCAGTCAGCCCCTGCTTCAGTAGCATCACTGCCCCTTGCTCTGCTCTAGTGGGTCAAAAATTAGCACATCCATTTGCCCATGCTCATAAGCCAGGACTGTGCTGCCTGGGAAGGCTTCTAGGTACAGAGACAGCTCCTCTGGAATTAATGCATCTTGCATCAACAGAGGCGAGGCCTTAATATTTCAGCAGGAACCAGGATTTCATGTGTTGGCCCTGTTCCAAAAACTCAGGCTACTTACATCACATGCACTGGAATCAAACAAAGCATTATGGTTTAGTTGATTTTTTCTGCTCCATATATCTTCACAGGCATAAGAAACAGCCTTCTGAATTTGAAATGGAGCCTGAAGTTTCTGCAGAGCTTCACTTCCCAAAAACCAAATATTTACATCCACTAGCACCAGCTGCCTCTTTTCTTTTCTCCTCCATTTCATTTCCAGATGCATTGTTGGTGCATCTGCTCCATTAATTAAAACTGATTTACACAAGACAAAATAGAATCCTTAATACAAGCCTTCAGTGCAAACGAGTGACGTCCAAAATTGCACTGACAGCTTCCAAAATCCCCGTGTCCCATTTTCTCACCTTTGCTGCTTGAAAAGTGTTTTGCTCTGTTCAAGCCCATAGGACACTCCTATAGCTGAAACCAAAAGATAATTCAGCCTAACCTGACTCTCCTGACTTGCTCTTAGCTCCTGCCATCAATGATTAACACGGGGGGGGGCCTGAGGGGAAGGCTTGGTGGTGTTCTGCTGTTTGTTTTCATGATTGGCCCATTTTTCAGGCTCATTTTTAGGAGAGCAAGGAGGGGTGATGTAGTTTGGCTCCTGGCCTTAGCTGACTTTACGGTGCTGAGCAGGGAATAAATCATCACACGACTGGTAAAGCTACACACTACAAGGGATCTGAGGAACAAGGAGCCTCCACTGTGCATCCCACTCATCCTCAGAAGAGCCTCACTGGCCTCTGGGTGGGACTCTGGAGTTAGCCTGCAGTTAGTAACCCAGTGGTAACTTCCTTAGAAGGCCTTGCCTTTCATTATCACAGTATCTGAAAGACCCTGTCATCTTCCAGACATGGCTCAGAAGGGCTTGAGATGGGAAGGGGAAGAGAAAAGCACACAGACAGCAGCATTTCAATTTATACTCCCTCTGGAAACAAGGCAATACCCCTCTGCCAACTACCAAGAAGGTTCTGCCCATGTTTCTCTCAGTTCCTTCTATATCCAAACACCTTTCTGACACCCTGCTGGCTCTTCCAGCCTCTGCAGGACACATCAGCCACAAAGGCCATCTCATTCTCCATGCTTCTCTCCCAGCTTCAATTTAATCTCTGCTGTGAAAAGCCACAGAAATGGAGTCCTTAAAACTCATCTACCTTCAGGGGGAAAAGTAAATATACAAGTTGGCTCTAAGAGCAGATGGTGTCTAAAGGAAATTATGATAATTAAGCTTCAGAATTGTAGACTTCCAAGGGACTACTTCACTCCAGCACCAGACCTCTAGGCCAGTGCCACAGTTAAAAGTTTCACCACATTTCATTAATTGCTAATTACTGCTTCATTACTTCCACTCATGCTCCTGAGATTGCTGCTGTCACTGTTTCCTTCAGGGAACGGTTCAGGTCACTTCAAAACTGCAAAGAGTGATGTGATGAGTAAGGTCAGTTATTGAAACACAAATAAGTATTCTCAGCTGGTACCCTCGCCAAGCACAGTTTGTCATCAGGATCGTACCACGGCAGTCAGAAGGAATTTTTAACTTCAGTTCTGGCTCCACTTTGGCAAACCCCAGTCCCAGCATCCAGCCTAAGGAGCTGTGCCTGTCCTGCCTGTCCCCTCTGCAACCCACTGAGGAACTACAGTCAGACTGAATCACCCATCCCAGGCTAATCCGCTTCCTACTCAAACTCCTCCCTGAGCAAGTTCAGTCAGAGTCTGGCCTCAAGTTTTCTCAACAGAGCAACGATACTGCTGGGAATTGAAAGCTGGACAAAATCCAGAGCTTTGAACAGGTTTCCAAGTCTGAAAGCAGCATTTAAGTACAGAACTTTCACAAAGCTAGTCGCATAATTAAGAGCCAAACCACTTATATGAATATAAATTTATGGGCGAATACTACCCAGTTTCATAATGGAAACAAAGTTAATTTGGGTTTTATTCAGTGCCAGTGCTATTAACTGTGCATCTTAGGCATAACTGAACTTCTCCATAAATCTAAATTTCATTAACACCCTGAAATCAATTACTTTTTGATTTATGGTTAAGGCCATAGTGCTGACAGTTATTAAACACCAGCTTACCCTGGCGTTTCCACACAAAGTGCAAGCTCACCCTAGGTGGGGAGCAGCCTCTCCAAAGTGCAGTGTTCCCAAAGTGCAGAGGGAAGTTTTTGAACTAGCTCTCCTCTGACTCCCAATACACTAGGTGGATCCAGGTCCCTTCCAGCTGGTGCTAAAACTCAATGTTCTAAGAGATGCAGAGCTGCTACGTGGTTTTCAGGTGTGATGACGACAAGCCTCCGTCACCGTTCCCGCCAGCCAGGAGTCCTAAGTGCACTAATCCCAAACACATCCTGTGCTACTGATCTACTCCACGCAGGGCTCTTCACGCTGCCCACACAGCTGGCAGCATGGCTGGCTCCAGCTGCAGGGCTGGGCACCGCCAGCACTGCTGCAGGAATGAAGGCAGGGAGCCTTCTCCAGGCACGGAGCTGCTCCCAGGGCTCCCGCGGCTCTGACGTCCCCACACTCCTCCGCCAAAGCCTCGCCTGTCAGAGCACATCATTATCTGAGGGGACGTGTAGCTCCTCAGCAGCCACTTTGGAGGTGGGTTTAATTGTGACCCCACGACAGATTTCATTACATTTCAACTCAACTGGTGTCGAGCTGCGCTCTGTCATCCACCCGGGGCAGTCAATTGATTATAAAGCAAGTATTTATTCACCTTCTCACTCGAGAGACTTAAATTAAGGCACTTCACCACGGCCCCTTCATTTCTTGGTCGTAATTGAGGTTTCATTACCAACTGGCTACTGGGTCATTGTTTTGAGGCACAGGTAGCTGACAGCTCAGGACCTGGGGGTACCTCGGCATGAGCTTCCATTTGTATCAGGCAGCATTTGCCCATTCATCTCTCTGATACGCAGATAATGATCTCTGGCTTCAGCAACAAATAAGTTTTGAATATTGATTCACTTTCACCCTGCTGTCCCCCAATCCAAACAAATCAATTCGCCCACAAGTGACAGGCACTTCTCCCTGCTATCCCCCAATTTAGATAAATCAATTCTCTAACAAGCGAGCCGTCCTCGTTCAGTGGAGCACTATAAAGATGCACTTCAGTAGACGAGTTCAGGTTTCCTAGGGAGGAAAAAATATTGTTTTAATAAACCATTTCATATTATTGTTTTAATAAAAGGAGCCACTAACTGCGGTGCACTGGTGTGAGTGGTATTACAGGTAAAATTCCACCTCCCTGGTCTCGATGGGGTACACTGAGGACCTGACACAACACAGAAAAAGGGGATTTGTTAAATAGCTGTTCAGCCAGGGAGAGAGCTAATTTGCTTTGGGCTCAGTGCTTTCGCTTTGCTTTCAACACCAGCAATTTAAACTCAAAAACTGGCAGGCATGCTAGCATATTAAGTTCTATCAAAATTCAAATAAGATACATAATCTAAATAATGTAGTGTATAAATTGACTTTAAGGCCTGAAGAAGCTGCATATGCAGCTTTTAAGGTCTGTAGCAGCAAAATAAAGACATCCACATTTTCCCTTTCCTTTCTAATCTGCCATTTCATATGTCTTTAGGCACTGTTTTTATACTGTTATATTGGGAATGCAAATATTTCATAGAACTGTTTATAAGCCTGAATACAATTCTGAGCATTTACATTTCCCTATAATTCAGTAAAAGCACATTAAACAATATTTCCACCAAAATCAACCTGACAATCCCCCTAACAGGCTCTTCCATCCCTGCCTCCTATTTCAAGGACACTTCCAAAGTCCTCATGTCCCCTGAAGTACATTTTGACACTAACAGCCAACACTTACAGTCTGGTGCTTCACTAAAACCAAGTGAGGTTACACTGTCCTGCAGTTCAGCATCCATTCAACTCCTCTTCTTGTTTAAAAATGTTCCCAACAAACACCTACCAGCTGTAAGGAAATGAAGGTATGGGAACAGCATCCATTTCCTGTGTTGTCTCATACCTCCAGGACACAGAATGATCTTCCCCAGCTCACTCTAGTTTGGTGCTCACTCCCAAAGAGAAAGGCAATGAGAAAAAACATATTAGCATTAATAATTGCAATTAAAGTTAGTTAGCAAGCAGGTCTCCAGACAAAGCAGGATAGCCAACCCAAGGAATCCCTGGCAGTGCAGCAGAGCCAGCCCTGAGGAATAAAGGCACAGAGCTTTTTCTTAATCATACCACTCAGTGAAGGCAAGCAATTAGGATGAAAACATTTGGATAAGGATTAATAATAGACTTTGCAGACAAAAGCACAGTGTTTAACAGGCTTGTCCTACCAAAGCAGCTGTCACAGCCAGGAGAAAACGAAGATCCTGAAGACAAAATCCTTGCTGTTAAAAGTAGGTTACAGCAGCCACACAGAGGGACTGCAAGGCTCAGTGACAAGGCCAAGGGAACTGTGGTCAGGCCTCCTGTGCTGCTTTGACCACATCTGCAGCTGGAGTCTCTCTGAGCTGGTGAACTGCAAAGGTAAAGACACTGAGAAGCAAAGACCACCCCTGCTGAGCAGGCTGCTCCCGTGCCCCAGCACCCCTCACTCATTAAGGGTGGATCTAAGTGGCAAGATGAGGAAAGCCTGGCTCAAAAAAAAAAAAAAAAAGGAATATTAAACCTCCCCAGACTTCCCCCTACTGCTCTTCATTGTTTTGTTCCATGTTTGGTGAAGCAACACGTAAACAGCAACACTGAAAACTTAAAATAAAATATTTTATTTTCTCCAAATAACATTTATTTTCCTTTCTTTTTTTTTTTAAAAAAAAAGGTCTTTTAACACTTCGACCATTTGCAGACAAAACAAAAATATGCAACAGCCATGTAAATCAACATCCTTTCTTCTATTTAAAAAAAAATATATGCATCCTTCAAACCAAAAGCACACATGGATTAGTTACAATCCAAAAGTTTCACGACTGCACAACCCCGAGGGTTCCCACACGTGCAAACATGAACACCCATGTGCACAAGAAAGGCAGCACACAACTGGTGAACTGTTTGTTCAGGTGGTTATGCCTCAAAGTCTTTGTTTTAAAGATTTTTAGCAAGGAAAGTCTGGCAAATCCCATCAACCGCATGTTATATGAGCCTCTCCTGGCTGGTGGAAAAGTTTCCTGCATTTAAATGTCTCCTAAAGGTTCCACTTGTTATAAGTGGTAAGTATCTACAGCCACTGGCTAATTCTTTTAGCAAATTTCATTCTTAAGACTTGAGCTCAGCTTTGGACCCATAAGGAGTCACAAGAGAGGGCTCGATGGCAATTCAAATTATTGCCTGAAGAGCAGGCAATGAACAGCCAGAGGCTGAGAGCTTCTCTGGCATAAACAGCTCCATTTGATCCTTCTGTCAAGTGACTGAAGTGCACAAAGAACTGGAACTAAGGATATCAGCATGGCATTCACAAAACAGTTGCAAGAATGAGATGGAGAAACCATTAAAATTTCCCTTGCCAAAGTCTGATAGTCTCAGTTCTCAGCTGCTGAAGTGCTAAAAAAGAGGCTGATACTCAAAGGCTACAAGGTGAAATTCAGAGGCTCTTGTTTAAAAATGAGAAACAGGGACAAGTACTGATAAACACCATCATTCCATACCACCCAGAATGGTAAGGCAGGTTACACAGGACTTCCCCCCACTCCATCATTAAGAATTAAACCAGCTGTAAATGAAAGGGATGTCAAAAGACAGTTTTTAGGGATGGTAACAGGAGGCTCTGAGGCTCCAGCTCAGTGGTCAGCCCTCGCTTTCACCAATTCAAGGACTCTGTGTTGTTCTGCATCCTAAAGCACCCAGCTCAGTGGCCAGAAATCAAGGTCTGGTTTTCCTTTCTCCTACTTTCCACATGGACAATATAGTGCAAGGGGGACTGATAGTTCAAAACATCTTCCCAGCACTCCCAATGTCACACCAAGGTTTTACAGTAACGCTGCCTTCACATTAACAGTGTTTTTAACACCTTCTGCCTGCCTGCCAAACCAGGTCTACCAGCAGCAACTCGCCCAGTTCTGCAACGACTTCAAAGTGAAATGTTTCCAGTCATTTGCTGCTGCTGAGCTTGCACAATCAGGTGGAGCTGTCTCTTTGCTACGGCCGTGTTTAAATCCCACAGGAACTCCAGCAGCTTGCCCTGGAGGAGAACCTCCATGGGCACGAACTGCAGGACCTGCTGGGGGGAGTCTGTGTCCAGTAAAGAGCTCATCAGAGTGTTCAGCTGCTGCAGATATTGGAGAACCGGAGCAGGGAGGCCCCGGTACCCAACACAGAGCAGAGCAGCACCGGGCCCCAGGGGCTCCCGGGAGGTGGGACAGGTGAACGTGACCCCTCTGAAGCAGCAGTGCAGGATGAACACCAGCCCGGCTGTGAAGCGGGTCAGGCAAGAGAGGAGAGGCAAAACCAACGCATCTCCTGCTGTCAGCTGGCTCAGCGAACGCAGGACACACTCCAGAAGCTGCTGCTGGTACTTGGGTTCTCCGTCGTAAAGCGAGGAGAAGCTGAAAGTCAGCAGCGAGGCCGAGTCCACGGGCTTTACCTCCATACTGGGCCAGCTCTCTGTAGCACAGAGGGAGGGAAAGCCCACCACAAGGCACTTGAATTGGTCACTACAACTTTCACTTGGGGCGTCTTGATGACACCTGGAAAGATCAGACACTTTTGCCAGTATCAGTTCCCCGGGAAGAACTTCACAGGAGTGACAAGGCTGCAGCACTGCTCTGCTTTTCAGCCTCCCCCCGCCCACCTTCCTCACAGCTTCATTGAGACTTTCCAAGACTTGACCATCACAAAACGGGGAACATTTTACCACCGGTAGTCTTTTCCCTTCCAAAATGTACCACAAGCTACATTCGAGGTTAGAAGGTGATCCTTCCAGGATGCACATGTTCCCAGCATTATTTGAACTATGTTCTTCAGCCAAGTGATTAAAATAGCCCTTTGCCACCTTATCATTCCATGTCAAGGTTTCCATCATCTTCCTTTCGTTGTATGTACTAAAATATTTGTTTCTTTGCCCAAACCATTTTGCATTCATGCTGCAACCAGCCTGAGATTTCTTGACAAGCCAGTTTTTTCTGGCAATGGGTTTCATACAAAACCTTTGCATGAAGAACTGTGCTGCACAGTCTCTTAACTCGTTCAGTTTGATCTGCTCCGCTTCTTCCATGTGCTCAAAGAGACGGATGTTCTCAGAGATAGTCTCTACCTGGCACTGGTGGAAGAACATGCAACACTCTTCGTGTATTTTAAGGAAAGATTCCGGTAGTGTATGCTGGGGAAAAAGGGCTTTGTTGACCACTTCTGTTCCAAAGTTCTGCGTCATTTTAGGAAGCAGCAGATGAAGGCTCTCCCTGCCCAAATAACGGAGACAAACCACGTAGGCCTCTGAGTTTCCAGCTTTGCTAGTGGCTGGCTTAAAGACATGGACCTCCTCGAAAGAGCAGTTCAGCAGAAAGAGCAGGTTGACAGAACAGTGTTCAAACAGCGTGAACATCTTCAGAACGAAGGACCCTCCAGTGCCCAGGATCATCAGAGCAGTGACTGTTTCACAGTACAGAAGGGGTGAGACCAGAGCTTCCTGCTCACCCGGGTTTCCCTGGCAGTCAAAGCTGCCATCAGCAGTCACCAAGTGAACTGTGGTCATGCTGCTCACAAAGTTCTGAAGTCCTGACAGATGCCTTAATGTCATCACATCCCCAGTGTTATCTGGGCCAAAGTACCACCAAGGCAACGTATTTGCTATCAGACGGTCGTCCATGATCATCATAAGGGTGTCATTGGCTTCATGGTATGGATTTAGAGTATTAGCTACCCAATTCCAGTGGCAAGGGACATGGTGGGACTTCAAGTAGTGATTGAGACTGGCTATGAAAGCTCCAGGTGCTTCACAGAGGTGGACAGAATTCAGTTCTCCCTCCTGGAGAGCTTCTTCTGGGAGAAGAGGAAAACTGCCCAGGATCTCATGAAATTTGCACCAGGCCTGGGTGCACAGCTCAGCATTCACAGATTTCCTCACGTGAGATATGATTTTCCCTGCTTTATTGGTGAAGGAGGTGTGCCGATGCCAGTCCTCCAGGTTCTTATCACTCAGCTGGTTCTTCACTTCATTCATTGAGTCCTTCAGAGCCAGGAGCGAGTGAAATTCCTTGTGATCACATGTAAAAACATTGCTGGGATCTGGCAGCTTCCATTCATTATTCGCTGGCTCAGTGTAAGTAAACTTCTTTGCAAAGAGCTTCTCAATTTCAGAAAGAACATCAGGACTGAACTTTTCAAGGTTTGTCTTCTGGTCAACATAAGGCTGCTTACATTTGTCCATTCTTGGATGGATTCACAACCTGGAAAACAGCAGGGGAGAAGAAATTCCAATCATACAGGTACAGAAATAGGCAAAGCTTTTAATAAAAAATAAAAATGTCTCCTGTTTAACCTCAGTATTCCAGAACAGGAGAGAAATGCTCCACAGAATCATGCACCAACGAGGAAAAGAAATGAGGGCTATCCTGAATAAGGCCATTTGGAACTCAGGAGGTTCACCACTTCAGTTGCCCTTCTTGCTATTTAAACAGCAAGTGAAGAAGAGTTTGCTGCTGCTTTGGCCCTTCACTGACTCCAAATACTCTGTTCACTGTGTGGGTCTAAACACTCACATACAAATACCTCTCTCAGTCACAAAAGAGAACACACCACAAGCTCTACAAATTAAACAAGTGGCCCAGAAATCTTTTAATCTGTTCATGGCAGTATTTATCTGAGAGGTCAAAGTATGGAAGGTGGGGAGCCACAAGGAAAGGCTCCCTTTGAAAGGGAGCACGGCTGCTGCTCTCCCAGTTTCCCAACAGGGAATAACCCTCCCATCTCTTCCACCAGACCCCATGTGATGCTGGGAAAGCCCTCACTGGCACCCTCCAGCACAGTCCCTCAGCTGAAGAGGCCCTGGGGGGAGGTTGGACATCAGCCTGTGAGCAAAGCCCCTTTTTTTGTGCTCAGCATTACAGCTCTCTGCCAGGCCCCTGCAAACCCTTATGCCTCCCTTTTCTGACTGAAAAAACTGTGATAAATCCGAAGCGAGAGGAGAGTTGTTTGCAGCTGTGGTCAATGTGAACATGTGCTTGATGTTGAAGAAGAAAGTAGTGCCAAGTGTTGTGCTGCGAGTGGATAAAAGCAGACGAACACAAGCACACTCTGCACAGAGCCAACGAGGCTGCTGCCATCTGCTCCAGCGCCCAGCACAAAGCACACACGGCGCAAGTGACAGTCACTAACCAGAAACCAGCCAGCCAGCAATTTATTCCCAACTAAAACGTTCATTTGAGCAAAATAATTTAATCAAAATTACCACCAGAGACAGGAAATCTCTCTGTGTATCATTTCAACCACCCTGCTCCCTTCAAAAGCGAAATATAATCATCTTACATGTTATGAAATAGATGGGTGTGAAAAAGTACTGGATTAAAATTGAAAGAGTTGAGAAACTTTGGAAGCAAACAGCACAAAGAATGGCCAACCTCAACACTTTACTCTTCCCCTTGAACCCACGCGGCATCTCAGGCCATGGCCATGGCTGTCTCCCCTCATCACCATCAGCCCTCTGGAGAGAGACACGTGGTCACACACATGGCTGAGGTTTCATCTCTCTTCAAGGCCTTTCAATGAGCAGGTTTAGTTTCACTGTCCTTTGCACAAATGTACTCTGGCTTTGATCTCATCCTTTCTCGCAGCATGTGCTGGGGAGAAGAAGGAAACTCAGGGAAACACAGAGCCTGCTGTGTCCTAGGCTAGTTTTCCTTCATTTTAAACACCAACTATGAGGCTTTTAATTACAGCTCACCCCAGGAAATCGTAGAAAAGGCTTGGGTTGGAAGGGACCTTAGAGGTTATCCCATTCCAACCCCCTGCCATGGGCAGGGACACCTTCCGCTACACCAGTCACTCCAACCTGGCCTTGAACACTTCCACAAGTGGGGCAGCCACAGCTTCTCCGGGCAACCTGTGCCAGGGCCTCACCACCCTCACAGGGAAGGATTTCTTCCTAACATATAATCTACATCTCTCCTCTTTAAAAGCTTTCCCCCCCGCCCGTGTAAAAAGTCACTCCCTCCTTACTGTAAACCTCCTTTGAGCACTGGAAGGGGCTCGACGGTCTCTCCAAAGCCCTCTCCAGGCTGAACCACCCCAGCTCCCTCAGCCTGTCCCAGAGCTGCTCCAGCCACAACACCAACAAGCTCACCCCCAAATCCCTAACCGGGCTCTGCCAGCGCATGGCAAAAGCAATCCTGCTTTTCCATCATCATTTCCAGCCCACACACACCCACACACACTCCCCGCCCCCGACCGGCGCTGTGCTCTGCGCTCCCCGCACGGCTCCTCACCCATCCCCGCGCTCGGCTGCGGCCCGGTCCGGCCGCCCGTCCCTCCGCCCCGGCCGCTCGTAGAGCGCCGCGCCCGCCCCAGGCGCCTCCCCGCGCCGCCCGCTCGCTACGCGAGGCCGCGGCTGCAGCGCGGCCCCCGGAGCCGCCCCGGCTCTTACCCGCCCGGCCCGGCCCGGCCCCTCGCCCGGCCCCCCTCCCTCCCTCCCTCCCTCCCTCTGCTCGGGGCCGCCGCGGGCACCGCCCCGGCCCAGCCCGGGCGGCCAGGGCTGTGCTGCCGGGGTTTCGCCATGAGCGCGGGGGAAGGCTCGGGGCGCTGCGGGCAGAGGGTGAGGGCGGCCCCGGGCAGGGCAGGAGGCAGCGCGGAGGTGGAGGCCGTTTCCTCCTCAGGGAGCTAAAGAGGGGCTGCTTCGTCAGGGGAAAGGGGGAACGAAGGAGCCGCCTCCCCGCAGCGGGGCAGCCCCGGCACGGGAGTTCTTTCCCCAGCACTTACCGGGTGACTCGGGGAGAAGCGGGGTTGGGATGTGCTGGGCACCCGCTGGGGCTCAGCGCCCTGGGTGAGGCTCAGCGCCCTGCAGGGCTGTCCGGGGAGCAGAGCCTGAACCAAACTCCTTCCTTCATCTCCCAGCCCTGCAGAGGCCAGGGCACAGCACACCCTGGGTCTGCAGCCCGGCCTTGCGCCTCCAGAGCCGGCAGTGATGCTCCTCCAGAGCTCGCTTGGGCCTCTGTAACCCACAAGGCGGGTGCTTAAGAAGACTCTCCACATAATAACCCACTTTGGTGCCCCTTCTAAATCCTCAGGAGACTCGTTACACCCAGCTTGGTTTAGCATGATGCATGAGCCTTGAAATATTAACAGATCCATAATGAGCATCATCAAGCATCCATTGCAGCAACCCTGGAAACACACAGGTGCTTTTTAGGCAGTAAAACAGCATCTAATCTGCACACAGAGGCAGGAAGGTCAAAGCAGATTCATTGTTACAGCAGACAGCAGGTGCAGGTTGCTCCCGAGACTTTAAGTATTGTGGGGATTTTCCTATATGCAGGTTCAGGAATGAGGCATTGCCAGCCCGTTTGGGAACAAACAGCAAACGTTGGAGCATGAGTAAGCAGAAATCCTTTGGCTTTAATGCCAGGCTTCCTGCTATTGACTTTTGCACTCTCACATACTTCTTCTTCACGAAGCTCAATCCAGCCCTAAGCCAGACGTAGTTTTGGTACAGAAATTCAGTGCTATGACTACAAGGAACTCCACAATTGATGATGTAACTTGGGAAAATTTTGCTAAAAGCCCAATAATTGGAAAAAAACCCTTTGACATGTCTATCTTAAGGATATAATAGTGTATAGGTAAATTATCTTTTCTCCTGCTCTAGGTACATAAAAGAACTAATATGTTAAAGTAAGAAATCTATAATCAGACAGCTTCTCTCTTTTAAGCTACTTACCTATTTTTAAAAATGAAGCAATAGTACTACAAAATAGAAAGAATCATAAGTGTAGAAAAAGCCCACTGCCACATGTAAAAAGGAATACAGAACTAAAACTCTTGTAATCTTGGAGGAAAAAAAAAAGATAATGTATTTTTTAAAGCTAAAACTCTCCTATTGACCCCTGGTGTAACCAAAAGGTACTGGCTACCTCACCAGAAGTTTTCCCTAATGAGAAAGAGTTGAGGTGCAGATGGAAGATTTCTGTGTCTGCAACACCTCTTCACCCTTTGACTGGCCTGTTTGAAAATCACTTGTAGTCAATCAATGGGTAAAGGTGGGAGGGAGAGCTGGGGCAAATGAATGAAAACAGGTGAGCAGCTGGTGAGATGGGGAGCTGAGGGTATGGTGGCTTCTCCAGTGCCTGGTCTGGTCTCTCCTTTATTGCTCAGGGCAATAAAAATAAATAAAATAAAAATAAATAAAATGTTATCTTTAGCTCATGAGAATTTAAAGTTAATGAGAATGTGTTACAGTCTGAAACATTTGTGTCTTGTGTTTCCTTTACTTTTGGCTTTCCCTCTGGTACCTGCAGTGCTGCTGTGATGTTTCAGTGACCTTCCTTTTGTTATTCCTGCATGCTCACACACCAGGCACCAGACTTGCACTGACTGACTTCTGTGGGCCAGGGGTAATTAAATCATTGAGCTTAAGGGTTGATTCTTTTTAATTTCTTCTTAAACACTTAAATCACCTTGTCACGTGTTCTTGGGTTCTTAAGTGTTTGGATAACGCTACCAAGAGGAAAACTACTATTCAGCTCATAGGGGAAAGTGGTGTGTGAGAAAGACTTTGACCTTTTCAGTCCTACCCTGCTAGGCTTTTACTGTAGTTTGCAGCTTTTCAGTGTCAGTCTCCTGGACTGCTGAAGATAAGGCTCTTCCAAAACACAGGAGAGAGCAATTCGTCACTGGGCATGTGACAGTACAAGAGCCCTAGCTAAAATAAATGTGATGGAACAGCGCACTTAAGAAAAATGTGATACTTTTTCTGAAATTAAACCTTCAACTCAGCTTGTGAGCTTCAGAGTCCTCCTATGTTTTCTGAAATCTCTTCAAGTTAAAGCACAAATCTGAGTAGATGCTTCTATCTTTGCATAATAATACCTTTTTTATTTTTTTGTCCATGTAGGACACCTAAAATAGGAACATAGCACTTTGTTCGTGGATTAGTCCTGCTTTTGTGGACCTAATCTTTACCAGCTGATTGACAGCTGATCTTTTCCCAGTCAGACCATAACCTGTGTGCACAGCTGTGGCACCAACAGCCCCAGATGGAAGCATCTGCCTTTGAGGGAATACCGGGCAGTTAAACATCTCATTAAGAACAGCATCCTCTTGTTTATGCCTCTGACTTTTTTCTTTCTCCTTGTGTAATTGTACCATGTGATGGAGATGGGGAGTGTTACTGGAGCATTTGGGAGCTCTTTCAATCATACTGGATGTGCAGGAAGTCCTCTGGGAAGACTACGGTGAGCCCTGGCAGAAAATTCATAGATTCTGTAGGACATCCCATACTTCTCACCCTGCTTCCAAAGATCAGCCCCCAAACCATCTAATTTTGGGATAGCATTGGTGTGGTAAAGTAGTCAGGAGAGGGCTCTCAGTAGGTGTGAGAAGAATCACCCACAGTGATCATGTGCATGATTGTGATTAGATTTATTGCTAATTCAGTGCCTGAACTTTGCCAGTGCAGTGTCTAAATAACAGCACTGTCATCTGTGGTGCACGATGCTGGGATGGCTGGTTGCCCTTAATGCAGTGGCTTTGCATGACCTTGGAGACTGCTCTGTAAGGGTCATTCTTGTTCTGCTCCTGGCCTGCAGTCCAAAGTCAGACAGATCTGTGTTTCATTTTCCTCCCTGGAAGAACTGCAGCCACTATCTGCTACAGGGAGAGTGAGTTGGGAGACTCCAGTAAACTGCATCTAATACAGACAATTAGTGAAATGATCTACGCTTGTCTAACCTTTGCTTATTTAAACAAAAATCAGTGAGATGAAAAGGAAAACCTATAGACTTTTCAATAATGTGGCATTATTGCTCCACAAATGAGATAATGAGGAAGCATTGATCTTGTTGGAACAGCACAAACACATCCTGACAGACCATGGCTACGAATGGTGCTGTGTTCACCTACTGTTTTCCAAGGAGGGCTTTTGGAGAAAGGGGAACATGGTCCTGGGGCCTGGTGAAAGGTCTGGCATCCAGTTCCACAGTGTGAAAGTGTGACTGATTAGTGAAGAGAAAACCAGACCACAGAGCAGGATGAACCTTGGTCCTCTGCTGTTTTGATAGGAGTAAGTGTCCTTCCCAGGGAGAAGTCATATTCTTGCTGTGGAGAAGCACATTGGAGCCCCAGGCCAACACCTGGCTGTGATGCCAGAATATGAACTGTATTCACCTGTGTTGAATAGGGGAATATATCTATTTTCATGAATCTTTAGTGATACATACAGCTGTGTAGTATCATTTAACTATCTGAGAATTGTTTTCTTCTGTGGCAGGCCTGAAAGCATTTCTTCCTTATTCCTTAGAATTTTTAGTTCTTTTCAAGTTATTTCTGTTTATTGTGAGCCAGAGGGGTACCTGGCCTTTTGTAGTCTCTAGTCTGCCAGGATCTGTGGTTTCTTTTCCACTTATCCTCACTAAAGTGTTGTTTCAGCCATCCACCACACCTTCCCCTGAGCTCTCTGATTTTCTGCCTGCCTCAAAGCACTTCCAAAGCAGAAAGCCCATCCATTCATCCCA